AATATATATATATAGGTTTCTACGGTTTCTAGGGTTTAGGGTTTAGGGTTTAGGGTTTAGGGTTTAGGGTTTATATATATGTATTCAGGTACCTTGTGCATATTTTAGTGCATCATTGGATTCTAAGTTGAAATTTTGGCGTCGTGTAGCTGTTCCTGCTGATGCATCAGCAGCAGCAGCAGCAGCAGGAGGAGGAGCAGCAGGAGCAGCAGCAGCAGCAGCAGGAGGAGGATCAGGGTTTATATGTCTACAAGAATATAATTATAGGGGTTTACCTATATATAATATTTGTCTTTCTTATGATTCTTCTTTTCTTGTTGCTACTCATGGTAATATACTTTCTTTATGGTCTATTATTGATTCTCCTTTTCTTATTAATATTATACAAGTTCCTTCTGCTGCTGCTGCTGCTGCTGCTGCTGCTGCTGCTAATGCTGCTAATGCTACTCCTGCTATTCAGGATAATACAGCAGCAGCAGCAGCAACAGCAGCAACAGCAGCAACAGCAGCAACAGCAGCAGAGCAGCAGCAAGAGGATGATAGTGACAATGGAGATCCATCAACTAAATCAACATCAATAGTACAATCATCAACAGCAGCAACAGCAGCAACAGCAACAGCAGCAGCAGCAGCAGCAGGAGCAGCAGCAGGATCGTGTATATGTACCCAATTATGTATAATAGAGAGTAATGAGGGTTTATTTATATTATTAGGGTTAGAGGAAGGAGGGATTGCTCTTCTTAGTCTTCCTCATTATACTATTCAATGGATTAAACCCTTAAAAGGTACCAAACAGCAGCAGCAGCAGCAGCAGCAGCAGCAGCAGAAGCAGCAGCAGCAGCAGCAGCAGAAAGTGGGAAACGAGCATCCAAGAGAGCAGTGCAGCGGCTGCTGTTGGATGCAATGGATCAACGTGCACAGGTATATGCTGCTGCTGCTGCTGCTGTTGCTGCTGCTGTTGTTCTTGCTGCTGCTGCTGCATATGCTGCTCCTGCTGCTGCTGCTTATGCTTTTTGCTGCAGGAGGAAGCAAGAGCTCCTGCTGCAGCAGCAGCAGCAAATCTTCTTTCTGTCTCCTTTGCTGAGGGACAAGGCATGGGTCTTGGTGATACAGCAGCAGCAGCAGCAGAAGCTGCTGCTGCTGCTGCTTCTCCTGCTGCAGCACTGCATGCAGTTCTTAGGAAAAGTCATGCAGCTGCTGCTACACCCAAAGGGAAAGGCTTCAAAGGTAGGGTTTAGGGTTTAGGGTTTAGGGTTTATTAGGGTTTAGGGTTTAGGGTTTAGGGTTTAGGGTTTATTAGGGTTTAGGGTTTACTAGGGTTTATTTGTTAGGGTTTGTGGGTATTTTTCTTCCCCCTTGTGTATGCGTGTGTATACGCTGGTGCAGCAACAGCAGCAACAGCAGCAGCAGCAGCAGCAGCAGCAGCAGGAGGGTTTGCTGCTGCAGATGATGATGATTTATCCCCTAATAAGGAAGAAGTACATCTTATACAAACAAAAAAGACAAAAAAGAAAACCCTCAAGGCTCTTGCTGCTCTTACTACACAAGATAGGCATACTTAATTTATTCTCTTTCTGCTGCTGCTGCTGCTGCAGCAGCAGCAGCAGAAGTAGCAGCAGCAGCAATATGCAGATATACTGGCGGTTGAGGCAGCAGCAGACCGCTTTGATTTGTGTTGGGTAGCTAGCCATGGCTAGCTAGCTAGCTGTTTATAGCCTGCAGCAGCAGCAGCAGCAGCAGCAGCAGCAGCAGTCGCTCCTGCTGCTGCTGCTGCTGCTGCAGGCATTGCGGTGTCTGCCTCTCAGCCAGAGGGCAGCAAGCATTAGATGAGTGACTCTGCAGATGCTGCAGCTTCTCTGATCTAGCTAGCTAGCTAGCTAGCTAGCTAGCTGTTTATCTATCTGGTTAGCTAGCTAGGTAGCTAGCTAGCTAGCTAGCTAATTAACTAATTAGCTAACCGTATATCTAGCTGGCTAATTAGCTATGTAGCTAACTAAGCTATCCAGCTAACTGGCTAGCTATGTAGCTAACTAACCTAGCTAGCTACCTGGCTACCTAGCAAGCTACGTAGCTACCTAGCCAGCTACCTAGCTAGCTAGCTAGCTAGCTAGCTAGCTATGTGTGGGGTTGGATTGGCAAGAAGGCGCAAAGCCGACTTGAAGAGTTTTATTGTCTTAAAACAAATTTATTAACAAAAGAAAACACAACAGCTAGCTAGCTAGCTAGCTAGCTAGCTAGCTGGCTAGCTAGCTAGCTAGCTATATATTACTAGCTAGCTAAGCAGCTTAGCTAGCCAGACAGACAGCAAACTAGGCGGCAATTTAGATACAGACATATGCAAAGATGCATGTCTTAACGGACGGATAAAAATATAAATAGTGTTAAGGGTTTATTAGGGTTTACGAGGGTTTACGAGGGTTTATGAGGGTTTATGAGGGTTTATGAGGGTTTAGGGTTTAGGGTTTGGCTAAATATATATATAGAGGCAATAAAAAGACTT